CAGGCGTCTAGAAAGCTAGCACTAGCTTAACTAGACAAAGGCCGAAGCACCATAGTCACGCAATACAGCACAACGTACCAAATTGTAACTAGTTAGATAGAACGGCCTTTGGCCAAAGTCCTACATAGCCAACGGCTGATACAGGACTATAATGGAATAATAATAAAAGAGCTCATCACTTTTGGCGAAGTGACTGGCGATAGTCGTGCCGAATACTTCGCTCGCTATACAAATGGATCTCTAGGCAAAGTTAAGAATCTTTACCTTAAGTGGGCTCGGCTCGGGAATGCCATGAGTCCACAATGCCAACAGCTCAATCGCCTGTTCTCTCAGTGTGTGGACGGCAACCATATCAGAATACCTGAAAATCTGGAGGCCTTCAAAGAGCTTGGGGATCCACCCGAACCTAAGAGAACAGTGGCGCCTTTCATATTAGATAGCCTCCATGAGGCATGTATGACGCACATTCGACAGACAGCTACACTAGAGATGGAGATTCAAGACAACGCAAGCATTGTAGACTTACTACTAACGCGCGAAAGGATGGCGATTTCGGAGTTTGAGCTACTGCAACTTCTGATGCAATGGTGTGATCGACACAATGTGGATGTAATGGGGTATAGTCACGCTATTAACTTCAGTGCTCTGACGGACGAACAACAGATATGGCTCCTCGCTCGATTGCCGCCATCAAACACAGTGACAAGCTTGGTTCGCAACGGGCTTCTTCAGTCTGAGCTTATTTCTCCACAAGAATTCCGTCTATTTGGGCTGGATCATCCAAATTTGCACTGGAAACCAGTTTTCCGCTCTGGAATCGATCGGATGGGGAGATTCCTTCCGGTCGTGTGTCGCTCACTGGATGTGTTTCACAAAAAACTGATCGTACTGCGCATCAATGATCGTCTTAGCGTAGCCATCTATGTACCAGAAAAGGTTGCTCGTGCTAGCGAGGTAGCGGTAGATGATGGCGTGCGAGTATTCGTCTTTCCACACACCCAAGGGCTGCAATCATCCAATTATCGCGCGGTGCCCACCAAGGCCACCTACCGCCTTTATTGCGATGAACAAGTGTTCCAACTTTATCACCAGAAAAGACGAAACACCTGGATATTTCTGAGAAGCCCAAAAGGTGATGATGCATTGTACCGTGCGTTGCCCAGTGTTGGAGACAAGAGGAGGGTGAGGGAACATACCATGCGGCAGCAGATCAACTTCGAATGCAAAGCCAGTATTGCTTTAGATAAGATTGGCCGAGATATGAAAACCCATATTGGGAAAATTCAGAGTGAAGGTGTCCTGGGTGGCGTGAGTATCTTTGTGTAGCTGCTTGGCAAATTGCGCTGACAGGAAGTAGGAGGTGTATGTGATCAGCAACCGCGATGTTGATTCAATGCGCGTTCTCGATCAGTGGCTGCACTACGTTGATACCCAAGAAATTCTTCCACTGTTTGAGAAACTCGAACCAGAATATACGACGGCAAAACTGGCTATGCTCAACTGGGATGAATACACAGAGCTTGTGCGAGCTGTCTGTCAAGAGAACAATCTCTCGTCACTTCGTCAACTGAGTTCCATCGCAGAGCTGCAGGTGATCTTAGATCTTCTCAAGAAGCATGACGAGAAAAAGCGTCTTTGCGATGTGTTTTCACAGACTCTACTGCTGACCGAAGATCCGACTTTTGCTATCCATGGCAAGACTATCGTGTCAACCTTACTGTGGTACTTGAAAGATGCAGCCTATCTCACCTCGACGCTCCTGCAGTCACAATCATGGAGCAGACACAAACGAGACATGGAAGATGAGCTGATTGCTCTGGCTCCAGACATTGCAAAGAGACTCATCTTGATGTCCAACGAGTTCGGCAGTCTTGTTCGCCAACATTTGGTGCTTTTACTACACGAGTTGAAGGAATTGCCAATGCAAAGTTTTGCCAAACTGGTGGAGCTCATTGCACTTACTGTTCGCTCACCTGAAACTGCATTGGACCTGCTTCTGGAGGTCTTTGAACCAGAAACATCTCGATTACTTGTTGGCCGTCCGATGTCTGTCCGTCAATTTACCTCATCGCTTTTTGGTATCGCTTTGGACCACATTGACGAGGCCGCAAGTTCTTCAAAACCCGAGCTGGAGTCTATCAAATTGGCTTTCCATGAATACAAGGATGGCCATACCATCGTCAAAAGCATATTACGTGTAGACTCGTCCGTGGCTGGCTCCCTGAAATCCGGTGACCATGTTCGTCTTACCGTAACCAACAGCCCAAAAAACGATTCCCTCATGAAGCTCTTTTCGATGGATGCTCTAGTATTGAGCATAGAGCTATGCACCGTCATTCTCAGATGCTTGCATGATCCGCCTCCGTATCTTACACAATGTGCATGGCATATCACGTTGTGTGGCTCGTTCGTTACAAGCAAGGCCGTATTCGATGCTGTGACAATGTTTCATACTGAACGTGAATCTCGCTGCAAGATATATGCGTCCCTCTTGGGATTACCAGCCATAGATCAGACTGAGCTTTCAAAGGTCGAGCTACCCGTTGCCAGGGATCCAGGTCTCAACGCAAGCCAGAATGACGCACTCGCGGCGGCAATGAAACACTCACTAACGCTGATATGGGGACCTCCTGGAACAGGCAAGACTCACACCATCATCGTCATTGTGTGTCAGTTGCTCCGACAATTGCCGAAGTCCAGGTTCCTTATTACAGCGCCGACGCACAACGCAGTCGATAACATTCTAAGAAGATTCACAAACACCAAGAGTGCAGAGAGAACTGGCACGACTGCTGTGAGAGTATCAACTCAGGTAAGCTGAATTATCATGAACAACCCTCTAATGTTCCGCTTCTAATATCTCCCTAGCTCTCCAAAGTATCACCAGACCTTCGGTCCTTTACCTGCGATGCAATGCTGGGCCAAGATCTTACGGGCAATCCGTCCAAACGCCGTAAAGCCCAGCAGCGAATCAAAGAGGCCCGCTTGATCTTCACTACATGTACCGGCGCAAGTCTTGGTTTGCTACGTGACGAGCAGTTCGATATTGTTCTCGTCGATGAAGCTTCCCAGCTGACAGAGCCTGTGACACTTGTACCACTTGTTAAAGGATGTTCGCGCGCGATCTTGGTAGGTGATCATGTCCAATTACGCGCTACAGTACAACAAAACTCGTTGCTTGTGGGCTATGACATCTCGTTATTCGAACGTCACTACAGCATGCAGGAACGTAAAGGTGTAGCGAAAGTCATGCTCAGCATTCAGTACCGTATGCATCGTACTATCTGCCACTTTAGCTCTACAGAGTTCTATGATAGCAGATTGGACACCGCAGTCGCGGACGACAGTCGACCACTTCCAGTGTCACAATTTCCTTGGCCGAAAGACAATCGGTTGGTGTGGATTGAGATTAGCAGCCCAGAAGACTTGGCTCAGCGATCAAAAGCCAACTTCGGCCAGACCGAGGTTTGCGAGCGTGTCGTGCAACTCCTTACTAACTCCATCTCAGACGCTAATTCACAGCCTGGAGAATTTCAGCAACGATCATTGGCTATATTGACTCCGTATACTCGGCAGAAAGAAGCACTTAGCAGTGCTGTCACTATGGCCGAAGTATCTTCTATTGACGGTTTCCAAGGCCGAGAAGCAGATGTTGTGATCTTCGTTACTGTGCGGTGTAATGTATCACACAGCATTGGTTTTCTTGCCGATATGCGCCGGCTGAACGTTGTTATGACTAGAGCAAAGTGTGGCGTTATAATTATTGGGAACAAGGAAACACTTACAGGAGATATAGGAGTGGGAGGCGACCTGGAAGAGAGTAAGAAAGTCTGGCAGCGGCTGGTGAACAGGTGCCAAATGGTTCGGGTTTAGGAAGGCATATTGCAAAAGATTGTTAAGTTAAGTCAGCTTTCTTAAAAAGAGAAGCAAGCGTTAGCTCCATTCAGCCCTATTCGCAGACTATGACTCACTCATCCTCTACTAGCCATGACTAGTTGCCAGAAATTGAACCGGAATATATCGATACCTACACACAACCGTGCCCGGAGCAAACATATCAATTAGTAGCCTTCGTTCATGAGCAGCAACGCTAACCTGATGTGGGTATTGCGACAGCCCATGTTTGCAAATAGTCGAATACCTACAGATAAGCTTCCTGTCTGAGCAGCGAACAGAGCTTAGCGTCAGCGCTGCCAGTATTTTGGTAGGCACAGCTTCATCGAACCAATTGGCCATCATGACGATTCCACCTTTGTGGCGCACAAAATCACGACACATCCTAGAACTCTATCTCATGAATCACAGTCAATTGCAAAACAAAAATCAAGATCGACCCTTGCTCTGTC